TCGTGTGATCACCACGTGGATCGATAGCTACTGTCCTCTTTTATTGTACCCACAGCGCCGTCTGCTGGACGTCGGGGTTGAGGATGGCAGCTCCCAGCCCGCCCGCCAACCGCGTGGGCTCAGGCTCGCGTCGTCCAAACCACGACCGGTGAACCGGTAACCGTTTGCGAACACCGACAAGTCAGAAATAGCTGGGTTGGTGGTAACAACGGGGATTGCGAACGATCGATCGGCACGGCGGCCGAAGAGTCCCAGTGGCGACTCGTGACATTTTCGTTCGGCCGGGAGCTGTTGTGAGTGACCTCTGAAAAGATGCGTGTTGTCACGAGGAGAAACCTCGTCAGTGCCATTGACCTTCCCGTGCAAGTGATGGCACTGCCTCGTCTGCCAACGGGAGGCATTTAGAAACAATGCGAAACAAAACAACAAACCGCACTCAAATTATGTCCCCGTGACCCTCAAAAGTCCACACTCCACAACCCCTTGGACACTGCCAAAAGCCTATTAAAGAACAATGAACAAGCAGCTGAGACGACTCAACAAATTAGCCAAGGCAACCAAGACACCGCATACTGCACATACCGTCGTGCTCCCACCTACACACAACACAATGTTGATATGTGTTAACTTGCGACATTAAAACAACGTACACAGGCGCTGCTATTTACGTCGCATTTCGTGAGAGCTTGTTTGTGTGTGGTTACTGTGTGTCTCACTGTTATCTTTGGCAAGTGTAACAGCACTTTGTTGACTCCTAGAGCGTGTCGGCTCTGTGACCTGCTGTATATTTGCACAGTGCCACCTCGCGCTAGAGACACCGCCGTCTCATTACAGCCACGGGCGACTTTTTCGCCACCCTGAATGGGTCTCAAGCGGCGTGGCTACAATGGCTCGAAGCTGCTCATCGTAGTGAGTGAAGGGGAATCTCTCACTGGGACGCCTTCACAGCCGCCCCGTGACCTCCCCGAGGCACAAAGCAGACTGTGGCGTTGCGGCGGTTTCTGATATGAACAACTTAAACACAACAAAACAATTTATAGAAAAGTATTTTGTTATTAGAAAAAGTATTTCTCATCTCAAAGCCGCTTGGTGGGGCGGTGCCCCTACCGCCCCTAGTGGACGAACCGCGCCTGGGCGTATGTCACCAGCGTGGCACATGCAGAGACTCCTCTACTTACGAACGTTCGACTTGCGAACTTTCAGAGATACGAACAAACCTGTCCGTATGTCAAAGTTGCCTGTTCCGACCGTGAGTCGTACGTTCAACCGCCGCGCAATCGATGGCGGCGGTGACATCTACAAAGCGTGAAGAACTAGTGGCATCTACATCTGTAGAACGTGAAGAACCAGTGGCATCTACATCTGTAGAAAGTGAAAAACTAGTGGCATCTACATCTACAGGAGATTATACAACTTTTAAAGCCACTCCCCGTGTTTAGTGTACACGCCGTACAACACGTTTGGAATCGACAGGAGTAAAGTTGGATTTACGAACAAATCGACTTACGAACAGACCTCTGGAACCAGACTCTCGTCAGTAGATGAGTCGCTGATAATTTCCCATCACTGCTGGCGGAAGAGCCTCCACGAGAGGGAGCTCTCGAGGAAACTTGGTCTACTCTTCCATGCTTAGTCGTCTTGCAAGAGGCGAGCGTAACCCACACCGGTACCCCCATCACACGCGACCGGCCAATTGAGTGTGGACGGAGGCGGTTGGAGGGGATTCAAGAAACTTTCTCCATCGTGTCAACTTGCCACAGGTCCAGTGCGCTGCCCATTGCACCATTGTGGCAGCTCCCTTCGTTTGTCACTTCAAAAGGTCATCACGTGACGTTAATTCCTCTGGACATTCCTGTGCGTGCGGAAAACCGGTAACCGTTTTTTTTTCTATCAGTTTATTTGCATGCGGTTAGAGATAACGGGGGAAAAAAACAACAACATCTTAACAACCCGAGTTTAAACGCACTGCGCCACTGATGAGCCATAGCCCGGCTCTATATGAGATGATAATTCACTTAAATGGGGCACTGTCAGCCAAGTCCATCGCAAATGAGAATGAATGAACCTCCTCCACGCACTATCGCGCGGCCCATTAAAGGGACGATCCATACCACGGGGCGCGCTGGGACGGCACAAGCCTCTGGCAGAAACTTGGACTCACCGCGCCTGCTGCTGCTGCTGCTTCTTCAATGAGCCCACGCGAACGGCACTCGGTCATTCAAAGACGAAAATTCCCCCCGTACATCGTGTTGATGGCAAGTGCCGTTCGCGAGCAGCAGCTATGGAGGCCGGAACGGCACACGAGGGGGTGGTTGTCTCCCCAGTGATGGATGTTTACACGCCGCATCAGATACTCGGTTTAGGCTGAGTGGACCTAGGGGAGGTCCAGGACTGGTTAAGATAACTGTCGCCGGTGTCGGGCGTGAGTGGGAATCGAACTCGGGTCGCCGGCTTTGTAGCTCAATGCGCTAACCACTGCGCCACCGCTACTACCCACGTGTGCCTCCACACGTGCAAGCATACAGACACCTACATACAGACACCTACATACATACATACACCTACATACAAACACCTACATACAGACACCTACATACATACACCTTCATACAGACACCTACATACATACACCTATACAACGGCATCATAATCATCACTCCACTGCTGGATGAAGGCCTCCCCACAGCGTCGCCATGCCCTCAACGGTCCGGCGACGTCACAATCCCTGTGCACATGATCCGATCTCGTCGCTCCATCTCCGCGCCTGCACGCGCGGTAGTCTAATTCGATTGGCTGCGTCGGGTGGCGGAGAGTCTTGACGACACATTTGGCCAGATCATTGCTTCGCGGCCGAACCCAAAACGACAGTAATGAATCATAAACGCTGCAGTACGTAGTTCGAAGATGTTGACTTTACAGCACACGTTTACCAACAAGAGCTACCGGGGCTTGTGATGAAGGGGAGGTGGCTCGCTCCTTCGATGACCCACCGCCGGTCTCTGTTCTCAGTTCGCGCCGAGCGGCAGTGTCAGGACGAGCCCTCGTCGATGAAGCCTGGCAGCGCGCGAGTCCATCAATTATTGATGATCCTAAAGGTCGGGGAGCTGGGGTAACGATGGTGCCACGGCGCGGTGTGGCGTTTGAGCCGCGTTGGGCTCCGTCGTGCGTGAGACTAAGTCGGTGGTGCGCTGAAGAAGGAAGAGCAAAACGTCTCGGACTGTCGCCTCCCTACCACCTGATGGAAGAAGGAGAGTGCAACGCGGAGATTTGCTTTTGTTTTGGAAAAATGTGCATCTTTGACAAGATTCCACACGATGAAGTGAACCCACTTGCTGTACTGGTAGCGCGAGATGGCCTCGCGGGAGCGCGTTCGCCGCTTGTTGCTGATGTCCCCGGTTCGAATCCGGCAGGCTGCCCTGGTTAACATTGCAGGCAGGCCACCTTGGTTAACACCGCCTGTGAATTAACCTTAAATGCCACGCGCCCTCTGCTTCGCAGTGGACGTTGGATGCTCCGTGAGGTCTTTCGGAACGAGTCGGCCACTGTGTGCCGGCATCATGATCCACATTCTAAAAGTTACACCGCAGATTACGCAATTGGGATCACGCAGCCGTAGCAGCAGCAGTAGCAACAGCAAATCGTTGATCCCTACTGTCAGCCCAATGGACTTTTAGCAACAGTATAAATACCAAGATTATAACAACAATTATTACCACGACATAAATGACAAGCGTTATTCTGACCTACGCACCCAGAACACTGCGAACCCGAGTTCGAGTCCTCAGTCACGGCCATTGAACTGACAGAGGCGAGCGGTAGATCGGGCGTCATAATACATTTAGCCGGTGGCTCTGCTGCACGTGGCCTGCGATCCAGCACTGCGGAGGCAGGGAGGGTTGGTATATCACCGCACAACACCCCGCGTCGTTCCAATAACCGTCGGGGCGCGGTGTTCGACGCCATACACACCGCACGCAAGTGATAACCAGGGCGGTCCGCCGGGGGTTCGATCAGTGACCCTCTACAGTAAGCGGCGAATAACGCAGAGATTCTTATCTGCGGCTGGGGCCCCGTGTTATCGTGGCGGCGGCGAAGGCGGCAGGGTCCGCGTTGCTGCCCAGAAACAACAACAACAAAACAGCGGCGGGGAGCAGGATATGAGATGCTGCGATATTCGGCGGCCGCAATAAAGCATCGCGGAGATAAGGTTCACGATGATGCGCCCGCGGACAGAGGACAGCTGAACTCGTTACAACGCGGCCGGTCGCCGAAACAAATCAATCTAAAACGGGATGATATCGGAGGCGAGCGATCCGAATATATATTTGCATTAGAATACAATTTTACCCAAATCGAATTAATTCCTTTATTTTGACCTCGTCTGATATCCCATTTCAACTGCGTGGTTGGTGCTGGGATGAGAGGCGGCCTGGCAATACCCGTTGCTAAAGGCTTCAGCGGAGAGCTGGCCCAGGAAAAGGTCATCAATGCATTCTTGAATCTATCTGTGTGGGGCTTTGCGTGTTATGCCCTTGTATGCTTCCCGGGTTTGTATCCGTGTCCTCTGGTTTCCTCCCACACGAAGCCAAACACTCACGAATGAAATTAGCCAAATTTCCCAACAAAAAAAGAGTCTTGAGACTCATTGAGGATTCCTAAATCAAGAGACTTATCAGCATCATCAGCGTTCTAAATCGCATTCACACCGACACCCAAGGTGTGCCACTCCTAGAGGCGCAGATCACAACTGGGACCATTCCCAGGCCGAGGCGTTCCCGTGCTTACTGAGGTTTGAGAATTTGCACGAAACAAGGGCGCTTGCTGAAACGCATCAGCAACCCAGAGCACCTCACGTGAGCCTCATCTCAAACATTCCAACGACGACGACCACAGCTGCTGCTGCTGCTGCAGCAATCTAGCCGAGGAGACCGCCGGTGGCAGCTGCCCCTGTGCGGAACAAGGTGCACATGCAGCACGAAGGCCGCAAGCCGGCCATAGCGTCATGCGCGATCCTGGCCACCGCCCGTCACCCGGGCAGCTTTGCGGGGCCTCGCGCAGCGCACGGCGGCCAGGAACTCCTTCTTGAGGCCGTTGTTGAGGAACCCGTAGAGCACGGGGTTGAGGCAGCACGAGGTCATGCCTAGCAGGTGGCAGGTGCAGAACACCAGCTTGAAGGCGCCGTTGTCCAGCAGGGAGTCGTCGAAGTCGGTGACCAGGTGGAACACGTGCAGGGGCAGCCAGCTGAGCGCGAACGCCAGGATGACGGCCAGCGACTTGCAGTAGACGGTGCGAGAACGCCTGCGCTTGCGTCGAGACGACGCTCGAGCCCAATGCTGCTCGTGGCCCCGAGACTGCTCGTGCTGCGGATCCTGCTCCTGCTGCTGCTGCTGCTGGTGGTGCTGGTGGTGGTGGTGGTGGAGACTCAGCCGCTCGGGGCCGATCGGGGTCGTGGTCAGCGCCGGTGCCACCTCGCAGCAGATCTCCGAGATGCCCGGCATGGAGTGGGCGGACTGCTCGGAGAGACGGGAGGAGGCGGTGCGGGACACGGGCGCCGCCGACACCGCCGCACCCACCGGGCCCTGGCGTCCGGCGCTCGATCTCTTGGTGCCCAGCATCGGCGTGATGCTGGACAAGCGCCTGCCGCACCAGCTCCTCTGCCGCTTCTGCAGAAACCCCTCCCAGCCTCGCTTGGCCCCGCCGGCTCCCTCGTCGTCGTCATCGTCGCCCTCGTCGTCGTGGTCACCGCCATCGCCGCCGCCGCCCGGTATCCTGTTCTCCTGCGCCGACACGGCCACCAGGGTGATGCGCGTCTGCGGAATCACCGACGCTGCGGCGGACGCGGTAGCGGCCGCGGCGGCCGCAGCCGCAGCCGCGGCGGTGGTGGAACTGAGCCGCACGCAGACGCGCGTGTGGCTCGCGGTGAGGCACGCGAGCGGGATGACGTACTGCAGCGCCAGCAGCGCCACCGAGAAGCACACGCGATCGGCCGCGCGCGGCCACGACTCGACGCACGCGTGCCGCGACCTCATGCTGCTCAGCCCCGTCGCCTCGCCCATGTCCTGCAGCGCGTAGAAGGCCGGCACGGGCGCGCACACGCAGGCGCCCAGCAGCCACGCGGCCCCGCTCCACGCCAGCCCCGAGCGGCCGCGCGGCTGCGTCGCCAGCGGCCGGCTGATGACGCGGCAGCGCAACGCGGCGATGGACATGAGCATGAGGGTGGACACCATGACGGCCAGGCACTGCAGGAAGGGCACGGCGCGGCACAGCGCCGGCCCGAAGGCCCAGCGGTCGAGCAGCGTGCTGGCGAGCGTGAAAGGGCGCGCACAGCAGCGCCACGAGGAACGTCGGCCAGTGCCAGGTTCCCCACGAGGACGCTCATGGCCGAGCAGCGGCCGCGGTGGCGCCACACGGCGACCAGCACCGCGGAGTTGCCCGCCACGCCGAAGAGGCTCACGAGGGCGTAGGCGACGATGAACGCGTAGCGGACTTCGGCCACCAGGAAGCCCTCGTCCTCCTCCCACTGCAGCTCATGGGCCCAGGAGCGGCTCGCGTTGGGCGAGGAGGCGTCGCTGAGGTTCGTGGAGGGGGCCATGGAAGGCGTTGGTCGGGCCCGCGCGTGGTCTTCAAGCTGCGCGCCGTGCACGGAGCGTGGCCCGCTGTGGGGTTGCACAACGGGCGGCGAGATGCGGGGATCAGCGGGTGAAGGTCACGGGGGGTTACTTTGATTGTAGTTGTAGTTTGGAATTCGTTTGTTTCACCAGGTCAGAACGCAAGCCGTGACCCGGGTGACCCAAATTACAAATCAGAGTGGAAACAAGCAAATAGAAATGAACCATAATATAGGGTTGTGGGTTAGATTGCGTAAATATAAATGCGTCGTTAAACCCGACACCACCGGACACAGCCAATTAGTAAAGCGTGCCAATTCGTTACTAGTTCAGCACATCGGTGTGTTGGAGAGTAAACCCACAACATTTACATTTTATATTTACGCGATATAACCCAAAAACGTCCATTATGAATAATATTGGTCGCGAAAGGCTACGTGTTAGACATAAATCAACCAAACAGAAATCCGCGCAAAAGCAACGGCGTTACAGAAAAACCTTAAAACAGTCCAGAAACAGACATCTTTTTTAATTTCTTCAATAAAATACATTTCCCTGCAAAGACAGGGGGCTCGGATAAATGTCTTCAGCATCCAATAAAAGTACAATCCGTTTATTAATTATACCACGGAGATACTACGGTGGTTGTAGGAGTGTGTGGCCGCTGAAGGTTCTCGCTCTCGGACAAAGACTTTTGCTGTCGCAACGTCTCGCGGCCTCCCACAGAGAGCCCCGGCTCACCGCGTGACACCACCCAGGCCAATTATGATTTGTTTATTCTCAGAGCTGAGAATTACCCAAACTCGGCGATCATTTGTGATCAGGCCGAGGACCATCAACTCACTGCGCTGGAGAACCCGGTTTCATCTCAGGCGGTGACACCTGAATTCGAACCTGACCTCTGACCCACCCGGTCACCTCCATAACAAATCCCACAACTACTGCCAAACGGCTCAGCGGCAGAGCAGGCGGCTCGCAATCGGAAGCGTACGAGTCAAATCCAAGTTGGGGGCGAACTCAACCGATTATCCCTCAAGGGGGTCGATAAAATAAGTGTACCTGTGCGGGGAAGTCAACAGCGGGCTCGTCTAATAAACAAGACTCGCCCCGCCACAGGAATGAGAAATGTCAACGACTGCCTCGGTGCTGTGAACGGGGGATGAGTTGAGCACCGTCTCGATGTGCACCGAGGAGCCCCGGACTCGATCCCAGGGTTCCCAGCGGTTCAGCGCTCTCTGACCCCCTTGAGCGGGAATCTCTTTGAACGCTCACGACGCCCGGAGCGAGGGTTCCGCGACAAGTCGGGGCCCTCCGATGATGCTCGCCGCGCGCTTGCCTCGGCTGGGCCATCGCGCCCCGGTATATTTGAGGGATGCGTCGGCGTGCGGAATCCGCCTGATCCGACTCAAGCAATTAGCGACCAGTAATAGGCCCTGACAAGTGGGTGGGTGTGGGTGAGAGACAGCAGCAGGCGGAACCCGGGGGGGGGGGGCTGGGGCGAGGGGCGGATAGTAGTGGGGTGGGGGGGGTACGATAAAGAGAAAAAATATATAACGAGGCTCTAAAAATGTCAATTAAATGGCTTGCCAATTACCGAGACGTGGAAGTGGTTGCACTGCCAATTTTGTGTGACGGCCAAACCGGCTCCCTGTTGGATGCCTTAGTGTTCCGCGCTATCGTTGCTGTGGTTGTTGTTGTTGTTGTTTATCGTTATTGTTGTTGTCGTGTTCATTTGACACGCAGTGCACGCTCGTGCGTGGTCTTAAATCTTCTCTCGCCGCGAGTTCGCGTCTCGTTCCGGAACGAGAGGCACGTGGCAGCTCCAGAGAGCCGAGTGGTGACGCGCGCGCGTTGGTGGCAGCCGCTCCCCAGCCACGGCTCGTGACGCATGAGCGGGAGGTCGGGTGGGGTTGCGTCTTGCGGCGCCCTCCACGGCGGCGATGAGATGTTAACTACCTCGCCTGGTATACAGGAGGTCGTAGGTTCGATCCCGACCCTGACGCCTGCTGCTGTATATTTGGAGTTTGCGTGTCTCTCTCTCTCTCATCATCATCACGGTGGCTAGGAGATGTTAACTACCTCGCCTGGTACGCAGGAGGTCGTGGGTTCGATCCCGACCCTGACGCCTGCTGCTGTATATTTAGAGTTTGCGTGTCTCTCTCTCTCTCATCATCATCACGGTGGCTAGGAGATGTTAACTTCCTCGCCTGGTACGCAGGAGGTCGTGGGTTCGATCCCGACCCTGACGCCTGCTGCTGTATATTTGGAGTTTGCGTGTCTCTCTCTCTCTCATCATCATCACGGTGGCTAGGAGATGTTAACTTCCTCGCCTGGTACGCAGGAGGTCGTGGGTTCGATCCCGACCCTGACGCCTGCTGCTGTATATTTGGAGTTTGCGTGTCTCTCTCTCTCTCTCATCATCATCATCACTGTGGCGATGAGATGTTAACTACCTCGCCTGGTATACAGGAGGTCGTGGGTTCGATCCCGACCCTGACGCCTGTTGTATATTTGGAGTTTGCGTGTCTCTCTCTCTCATCATCATCACGGTGGCTAGGAGATGTTAACTACCTCGCCTGGTACGCAGGAGGTCGTGGGTTCGATCCCGACCCTGACGCCTGCTGCTTTATATTAAGAGTTTGCGTGTCTCTCTCTCTCATCATCATCACGGTGGCTAGGAGATGTTAACTACCTCGCCTGGTATACAGGAGGTCGTAGGTTCGATCCCGACCCTGACGCCTGCTGCTGTATATTTGGAGTTTGCGTGTCTCTCTCTCTCATCATCATCACGGTGGCTAGGAGATGTTAACTACCTCGCCTGGTACGCAGGAGGTCGTAGGTTCGATCCCGACCCTGACGCCTGCTGCTGTATATTTAGAGTTTGCGTGTCTCTCTCTCTCATCATCATCACGGTGGCTAGGAGATGTTAACTTCCTCGCCTGGTACGCAGGAGGTCGTGGGTTCGATCCCGACCCTGACGCCTGCTGCTGTATATTTGGAGTTTGCGTGTCTCTCTCTCATCATCATCATCACTGTGGCGATGAGATGTTAACTACCTCGCCTGGTATACAGGAGGTCGTGGGTTCGATCCCGACGCTGACGCCTGTTGTATATTTGGAGTTTGCGTGTCTCTCTCTCTCATCATCATCACGGTGGCTAGGAGATGTTAACTACCTCGCCTGGTACGCAGGAGGTCGTGGGTTCGATCCCGACCCTGACGCCTGCTGCTGTATATTAAGAGTTTGCGTGTCTCTCTCTCTCATCATCATCACGGTGGCGATGAGATGTTAACTACCTCGCCTGGTATACAGGAGGTCGTGGGTTCGATCCCGACCCTGACGCCTGCTGCTGTATATTTGGAGTTTGCGTGTCTCTCTCTCTCTCACCCCGTGGTCGCGTGGATTTTTCTCTGGGGCCTCCGGTTTTTTTTTTCCCTCCACATTTTTTAAACGTGCGTTTAGGGCAACTTGGCTTCTATTGATTTCCACGCGATGATGATGATAAGCCACTTCTTTGAGCTCTCATTTGTGATGGCCAGGTCGCTACTGGAAGAAAAAAAAAGAGCTTTATAGCTCAGTGGAGTCTTACCTGGTCAAATAAAAAACAAATCATTTTAATAGTTTGCACTCCGGCTAATCACGCTGCCGTGAATCTGTCAATGGTGACGCGACTCCTGGTGGGAGGAGGGTGGGCGGTGAGTGGGGGGAGGAGATGGGTGGGGGGGCAGCCGAGGCCGGCGCTGCCGACAGGAGGCGCCACGTGACTTCACGAAGCCCACGAAGCCAGCGGCTGAGATCCTTTTTCAGCCAATGGCCACTTGGATATTTATAACATCATTCGCGGGCCATAAAAAATAATCAACTTAAAAATTAGCCCGTTATATGTGGTCAAACATTTAATGAACACACCCCTAATGTGATGGGCTGGAACTGTTTCTCTTTGGCGAGGCGTGTGATGATGTTAGCTGGTATTGATGTTGCTGCTACTCGCAACTGCTTTTCCAGGTTTGCTCCTAGATTTATTGAATTTCGAGTCCCGCCTGTGGTTGCCTTGGCAGGGCCAGACTAAATGATTTCGCAGGCCTTATACGGCCCGCGGGCCGGACGTTTCCCACCCATGCACGAAGTCCACGATCCTCCCTCCCGTCCCCTTCTCGTGTGTTCCCTCCACAAACAGTGATCGATGTTTTACTACAACATCCCGTCAGACGCACGGTCCGTCTCGTCAGCAGAGTCGGGCTGGTTTGAGCTGATGCTGGTGAACTGCCTCCATGGGCATAGGCAAGGACATTCTCTCTCTCTCTCTCTATCCCATGTGGGTCCTCGGTTGCAAGCACGCCTGGCCTCTGCTGATGAGAACACCGAATGTCGAAACAGGTGCAGGGTTTTTGCTCGCGTTGACCCAACGCGGCTGCAATTATGCACTCGTAGCAAAGAAGGCCGTGTGGCTGATGAGATGTGTGTAAAATAAAATAATAAACGGTGTGTCCATGCGGCTAATGGTCTGCTGATTTATAGCCGAACTGAGTCGGCTGGGTTCAAAGGGCGACGCGTGGACGTGAAATCGATGCGAGGGCACGAGGCCGCGTTTGCCGACGAGCCCGCTGTCATGGTGACCACCTCCTCATCCTCCTCCTCATCCTCCTCCTGTCTCCGCTCCCTAAGCACCGCTCGGGTTTTGGCACAGCGCCCGTAAAGCCCCCCCCCCCCAAAAAAAACACCAAGGCACAAGCTTAAGTTTCGTAGCCCTTCGAGAACGTCCATTAGAGCAGTGGTGCTTCACCTTTACTGCAGCCTTGCACCCCATTGGTTCGCAATTGTACTTTGTTTTGATAGTGTTAATAAATACGTAGGTTTGATGAAGCAAAGCAGTTGTACTCGCGTGCCTCATTTGTGTTTCGATGATTTACCTTCTAAAAATCATCTGGCCACGTCTCGCACCCCAGAAAGGACATCACGCACCCCCAGGGGGTGCGAGATTGAGCATGGCTAAAGACTCATATTCTTAGGTTTTTTCGGTAAAGTCACGTAGGTAAAAACTTTACCGAA